TGGAATCCCTTAAATACAGATATGTGTAAGCAGGTAAGTATCATGTTAGAATGGCTGATAGAACTGGAGAGATGCAGCTTGAAAACAGAGCCCGATAAAATCATTATCTGTTGTATACAAGAAGTCTGCATTAAAGGAAACTGATAATTTCCTGTCCTGAACAGGATTACGCAGAGATGGAATTTCAGCTTTTTGTGTATAATCACAGATGGTTGTGCCTCAGAGCTTGAAATTGGGACGGCCTCTACATGGAGTTCACGTTAATAGTACCCTGGGTTGGCCAACATCTTGGCTTACCTGAGGGCAGTTGGAACCACCATAGGCAGAAACATTTGAGCCCACCACTGAGAAGATCAAGATATCAGTTCAGGCAGCTGCCAGGACAGGGATCTTGTGGCTGGAGTCCCTTTCCTCTTGGTTGCAGGCTTGACCAGAATAGTGGTCATCAGAAGGTCACTGACTGTTGCCTGCTTCCATGCAGGTTTTTTGAGGTTTCTTTATTGTTTTCTTTTAATGTGGTATGCGTCATGATGCCTTGTGCCATCACTGCAATATCCCCTGTATGATTTGTGGAGGAAAAATGAGGTAATCCTACTTCTGGGAACAAGTGCTGAATTTAGCAATGGTTTCTGTACAGGCCAGAAGAAAGGGAGATGGGAAGAACTGGCAAGCAAGCCACTGACAGGCAAGGTCATCAACAAAGGGTGTTGTAGGAGGAATGCAAGACACAGAGCTAAATATTTGTTCTCAGTGTACTTTGTGCCCTGAAGAACATGTGTTTTTCTAACTCCTTTTTCCAGAGCACTAGTAACGAGACCATCTGTTTGCCTCTGTAAATCAGAGCAAAGCCCATGAAAACCCACCTTGAAAAGCAATTAGAAATTATCAGTTGTTTGTTTTAGCATTTAATAACTTTAATTAGCAAACCTAATAACATGTTTGATTATTGCATCCCATGCCTGTGAGCCCAGTGGGAGGCAGGAGATGGGACATATTGATTGGAGCAATTGAGACTCTTCCTTCCATTTTTTTCATTTTAAGACATTATGCTGCATAGCGCTCTGAAGAGACTGCATGCATGTAAAATTGGTGTTGAGCTCATGGGTGATGTGGGGCAAGATTAGCCTCCTTGGGTAGATCGCTAACAAGCAGGGACAGTTTCAATGATGTTTTTAGTTGCTAACTTTTAGCTTAAGTACTCTGAAGCTCAAACACAGTGGACTAAGAGACAGAAAACCTCATTTCTGCTCCTGGTTCTTCAAGTGACTTGCTGTAGGATCTGGGCTGAATTTCTTCCCTTCTCTGTACCTCACTATTCCCCTCATTAAAATAAAAAGAAGAAGATAATAAAGAAAAGGAGAGGTGTAGACTCCCAGTACAGCCAATGCCAAAAGATTTTCTCTTTTAGTGGCTGTTTCTACCTGTCTGGAGGCTTCGTTAGAGGAGATGAGGGTCCTAATATTGGCATGTTAGGTGTCTAAAGTTTAATGACAGTAATATCCCATTTAGTCTGCCTAGAAAAGCTGAGATTTGCAGTTATAAAGTGTAATGGAAAAGCTGCATATTATTAGTATTTAAGAGAGCAAACCACAGTTACCGAACCCTGCAAGTCTTATGGTGAATTAAACATACCATGGTTTGTTCTGGAAGAAACCTGATGTTGCTTCATAAAGGCTCTTCATAAAATTGTAAATGATACAGGCATTCATAAAAATTAGGGATTGCTCATGAATAATTTGGAAACGAGTGGAGGATTTTAATATGTATGATGCACTTGCAATAATAATGTCACCCTATTGCTCAAACCATAGAGCAGTAGTTTTATTACAAATGAGAATCATTTGTTTCTAAACCTCATGTTTCTTGAGGTTTGCCCCATGTCTCCTTGTTCTTCTGTGCCACAGGACTAGAGCAAATCAGTCCAGGCACTTATTTATCCTTCCATCATCCAGAAACCTCCAACTGGGTCATCATGTAACCTTCCTCCTCCAGTGAGAATTAACCCATTTTCTGTGGTCTGTCCTGGTAGCTTCTGACTCTGCGCTAGAGCCTTATTTATCCTGCTCCCCTGAGGACAGTTTAGAGGATCTGTTGAGAGACGGTTTTTATCCTGAAGCAAAGACAGGACAGGAACGTTCTGGAACCTGTTTCCTTTTCTGTAGCAGGTGGAGCAGTGTTACTGTTAGTAAAAGTGTCAAGAACTTTCCGATTAAACTTTTTCAGCCTACCAGACTTCAGAAAAGCAATTATTTGTTTATTTTTCAGAGCTGACTTTGGTGGAACTGTAGGTGGGATCACAGTCCCTGGTCAGAAGCACAATTTTTGGTTCACCAAGCTGAGGTGAATGGGCACTATCAGAGCGATCAGGGCTGCTGGGCTGTGGGAAGCTTGTGACCCTTCCCAGGTGTTTCATATCCTGGGAGAGGATTATAACTGTGGGCTTGGATGTCTCCTGATCTCATGTCTTTTAGTGCTTTTCCACTTGGTAGAAATATTTAAATAATTGGGGATGGAGGAGGAGAGAGGTCCTGGCTGAATAGTGGGTAGGACTGAAGAACTGAAATGTTCTTCTGGGATGCAATTCAAGTTCAGGTCTCTGCTTCAGTGAATATCTGGAAGCTTTTGAAAGCCTTAGTTACATCTTGATATGATGGGAAATTTTTGAAAACCTTGAAAAGCTTCCTGTGTTGAAAAAACATTTCCCTCCAGCTTCAGTTACTACATCAGTTTGCCATTCTATAGGCTGGCTTGCTTTTCTGTTGGACAGATCATGCACGATATAATGATTTTGGTGGTGTTACGGTGTGTGAAATAATCTCAGCAAAGGGAGAATGTGCTTAACATGAGGAATTTTTAAATACATATATGGATATAGGTATGAAAATAAAAATGAGCCTATTTCCTTGTAAATTGAATCCTTGTTACGTTAAACCTCCGTTCTCGTGCTATGTGGCAGAGGCGTGGATCAGCCAAGATGACAACAAATTCTCGTGGACCTTCCTCACCTTCATGGTGTGAAGCCAAAGGCAAACATCAGGCACAGGTGTTTGGGTGGAGGTTAGGCAGAACAGTTTTTGTACTCTGTATGTACCCCTGGCTGCATGAGGCCTCAAAATGAAGATGGCATCTCTTGTTTACCTCTCTGTACCCCTGGAAAAATCAGACATGACCTGGCTCCACTGGACGGTTGCAGGATGTAGCCCATCAGGTATATAGGATCCATTGAAAACTATGGGAATTTCAGTGCTGATGGGTATTGGGGTGCACAGGGTAACACTGGCATCTCTATTTGTGTAGATAAAGTTTATGTCACAGACTTTGACCTGTATACTCTCCGGTGCTGTAGAAAACTCTTCTGACAGATCTTAGCAATTTAAATATATATATAATTTTAAAAATGTATGTATAGGAATTACCTTGCTATTTTTTACCCAGTTCTGTGTGACTCTGGTCATGTAGCGAGACAGTGTGCTAGAAGGTGAGCTTGTACCTATCGTGGCATCAACTGAATGGACAGTTTCAGAAAAAAGTGCACAGGGAGTGTGTTGTCAGATGGGAGCTGGACCTACAAGTGACTTTTCTGTTCTGTAAGCAGGGCCAGCTGGAAAACCTGGGCCTTGGGGGTACCTGCGTGTGTCTCAGCTGTTTGGTTTCTGGTTTGTCCACCTGCAGCAACTCCTGCCATAGGATTATTTAATCCTGATTTAATTCTGCCCAGAGCAGTCCTTTATCCTGTGATGATCCAGGATACTCTTTTTCCAAATGCACGTGTTCTCATCCTACTCTTGCAGCAGAGCCTCTTAGTACTCTTCCTACTGAATTAGGGTGTTTAGGACGCCTACACAAGTCATAGCCCCACCGAGTGCGGGCGTCCTGTGTTCTGCAGGAGGGAATGCAGCACGGATCGGTGCTGGAGACGTGCATGTCCTTGCATAGCTTTTTCATCTTGTTGACCAGGTAAGTTAGTTCAGAGAAGGACGTGATTTCCCTTTCTCAGGAGTGATACTTCTGTTAAAGGGATTATACTTTCCACTGACAAGTGCAAACTCATCTGCATTTTTACAGCTTATTTGCAAGGCCTTTGCAGTTTGTGCTAGCTTTTTGAACTGTAGCTTTGCTATGACTTTTTTCCTAACAAGGCAAGCACTATTTAACGACACAGAATTCCTGAAAATAATCCTGTGACAATATATGGAGGAAGAACTAAACATTGGGTGAGGCACTAAATTTCAGTTTCAAGCTTATTAAACTTTATTCATGGTGGAGATTAAATAAGGTGCTGTAGAATAGATTGCATTACCCCTGTATTTGTGATTGTATAATTCAGACTAGAGCCATTCCTTTATGGCTAAGCTTTTTGACAACTGCTGTAAAAGATGAAGTGCAAGACGCTGGCAGTTTAAAAGGAGTGGATTTTAACATAGGAAAGCTATGGGAAAAAAACAAACCTAAAATCATTCCAATTGCCAACAACACTCTCTAAATAGAAAGCGTAGGGGGCATGAACTTCTAATCAAAATTTCAATTTCTAATGAATTGCCAGATAGATTAGAATGTCTTATTGCATAAACATTACTGGGATACATCACTTCTAACCAGGGGGACTTTATAAACTCTCTGGCAATGAACGATGCGATACGCTGCGTAACAGTGAAAAATACTTTCACTTTGTTGGTGTTGACCAGTTTCAAACTACCCCCGCAGTAGGAGTTCATTAGCATTGCCCGCTTGGAATGGCAGTTATGTTAGATTTGACGGGATTAGGCGAAAGTCCTAAGAAATGCTAGTACCAATTTTCTTTGTGTGTTGTTTTTTTAATTTCCCCCCTTTGGAGCTCCAGCAAATGCAAGCATGTCTTCCTCAATTAGGCAAGCCTGAAAGCCGCAAAGACTGCGCGAGCTCTTGAATGTGCCGTAATTTACGTTTATCAATTCAGTGCACATAGTTTTTTTGACGTGTGCTTCCTGCCTGATTTTCTAACAATCCTTTATTTTCCGCAGGTGGCCGTGATAAACGAGGTGGTCCTGTCTTGACCTTCCCAGCCCGCAGCAATCACGACAGAATAAGGCAGGAAGACCTTCGGAAACTTGTGACTTATTTGGCCAGCGTGCCAAGGTAAAGCTAGAAAGAAAACACTTCAAAGCCTAGGGTGGACGGGTGGGTGGGGAACTTGTTCTTGGCGCTTGTTGATTTCCAAGTATTAACATTTAGTACCTTCAGTTCTTGAGACGCAGAAACAAGTGTTCCCTTCCTCCTCCTGTGTACGCCCCGATGGTTTTAGTGCACACGCGGCAACGCAGGAGTCCCAGCGCGGAGGCAGTGTCAGCAAACCTGGGCTTCAGGCTCGTGACAGCAGCGAGGAGCAGCTCATTTCTCCCATCTTTCTGCCTGGCTTTTCTAGAAGAGTGGGAAGGGAGGAGGGGGCTTAGGGTCCTGCAGTTAAATATAGCAAGCTGGAGAGAGCTTTGCTGTTGCTTTGTAATACCTTGTGGGAGGCTCAGGAGAGCTGGGATAGAGGAATGTGGTTGCTGGGATAGAGAGCCTGCCCCCTGCAAGGAGGCAGATCTTCCTGCTCCAGCACTTCCCAGAGCTTTCTCCAGGCTCAGGAAAGAACATGGGTGGACTAAAGGGGAAGCTTTCCAAGAAAGGGGTTTCAAACGCTTCTGCATGTAAACCAGGACCTTGCCCCACATTAGTCCACATGTGCCTCCTCCAATATGCAGGTCCAAATCCCTTTCCCAGAGGCGCTGCAGGGAAGGTCTGTTGCCAGTGCCTATTTTTCTTTACAAGCTTTGGGAGACAGTTTATAGGGCTTAGTGCCCAGGTAGGTGTTTCTGAGCCAATGTATAATGCCTCCAAGAGTACGAGGCTATGTATGCCCTCATCCAGCTTCCTTTCTCTATTTTCAAGCTTGCCAAAGATCCTTACCCAATAACTGCTGCACCAGTTATTGAGGTGAAGGTTATCCTAGGGTGAGTGAGGAGCTGGGAGCTGAGAAGAGAGGAGCTTTTCTAAGGAGCTGAGTTCAGGGTTGAATAACACACCCTGTGCCACCCAGGAGCTCCTTTTTTAAACTCAGGTTATAACATGTTAAACAGTGCTCATAATTTTGCAAAGAGTGTGAGGTTACCACCTGAAGGGCAGAGGGGTTGGCTGCACCTGGAAGTCAAGAGGTAAGGGTGTCAGAAATGCAGTCAGTTCCTTAAACATGAGATGTGCAGAGAGCAAAGGTCCCGGGTTTCGTATGGAAGAGAGTTGAGGGCTGTTTGGAGGCTCATCACTCAGCTGTGGAGAGTGAGGGGCAAGCGCAGCCACGTGTGCCAGATCTGCCAGAGCTCATTTCATGGACTTCACAAGTCCTCTGGCGATGCAGTTTTTGCTGTGTTGGACTTTTGCTCATCAAGGTTTTACTAATAAGCTAAATTGGTTTGCTTTTGTCCCCCCTCCCCTCCCCATTTTTTCCTCTAGCCAGGTCTATTTCCAGGTTTGTCTCAGGTTTGTCTGTTTCCAGACAGGTCTCAGGTTTGAAGATAGGACATTGCTTGGCATTGCAAGCAATTGCACAGTGAAAATTACCTTCTGACGTGTCAACCTTCATTCTTAATTGCTCTTCCTTCATGGAGGTGGCAGTAATAGTGAGATACATCCCTTCTGTTCCCCACTCTCACACAACTAAACCGATTAACTCGGTCTTTGATGCTGCATTTGGTTGCCTCGCTCCGAATCAGTCCAGCAATGTTTTGTCTCTCTCGCTGCACAAGCTGGAGGACAGGGTTGCATCCTGAAAGAGCTAATGCAAGACCCAGCTACTTGGCTCTCTAGAAACACTAAAAAAAATATTCCCCCCTCCCCAGTGCCCACTGCAAAGCCTTGTTCTGCCCTGGTAGTTGAAGCCTTTGAAGAACATCTCTCTAGTTATACCAGAGAACATTGTTTCCTCTGCGGTACAACCGCCCATCATGAAAATGTGCCTCACAGTGAGGAACTGGCTACTCGCAAAGCACTGTCATCAGTTTCCCGAGGATCCCCTCAGACTGGTTCTGCGGAGACATTAAGCCGGGTACTGTCTCCCGTTTGGGATATTGCAGATTGAGAGGTGTGGAGCAGAAAGCAGCAAGAGTGATCGAAGGTCTAGAAAAAACAGCCTGTCAAGGAAGGATTGAAAGAGTAGAGGTTGCTCAGCCTAGAGAATTGAAGAGAGTGAGAATGGTCTTTGAAAGCCTGTCGGGATGGTGCAAAAGGAAAGAGTTCATAGAGTTAGGACAAGAAACGGAAGGGAAGCTTAGGCTGGACATTAGGAAAAGATTTCTAATGAATTCTCTTTAGCACTGGAAGAAGTCATCTAATTTCTTCTTAAATTCCTCCATAACTCCACAGGCAGATCTCTGGCATGGGTATAAACGTTAGGGAGAGGGGATGATGAATCATGAGGTGATTTCTTTAGGTTCCTCCTAGTCCTGTTTTGCCTGCTGCCGCAGCTGTGAACTCAGCGCTGTAGGAGGGAAACGTGACCACCAACTTTGTGGGTTTGGCACGCGGGATTGTGTAACCTGTGTGGTGTGAGAAAATCCTGAAAACTCGTTTTCCCTAAACATTTTGTTCACTTTAACAAAGGGCAACCAGCAGAGCTTTCAGACTTACTTACTTTTTGGAAGCAGATATATGGAAGGAACAGTTTGAATTCATATCACCAGCTCCCAGTTCATATTTATTCCAAAATGAGTGCTGTAATGAACAACTGCATCAGCCGTCCACCAAAATAGTTTCATTAGCAGAGACTGAACAGGATGCCAGGATAAACTGCTCTGTTGTTCAGAGTGCTGAAAGGGGGAGAGTTTTCTGTGCTAGTTGAAAAAGTAGAAATCCTTCTTTAGGGAAAAAAGAGGGTGTAATTTATCATATTGACACCAGCATAATAATTCTTCCTTTATTCCCGGTGCAGTGGTTTCTGAGTGAGACGGATTGCTACCCACATTGATACTATCTGTCACTTAACCCTTGTTTTATATCTTAATGGAGGGGGCAGAGGTGGTGCATTGCTGGGAGCTTTGAGCAGGTATGAGATTGGTGATGAAATACGATGATAGATTAGGGTAAGTGAAACCAGGGTCTTGCAAGCAGTTTTCAAAGTTTCTGATTCAGCTTTCCGCAATTCCTTCTTCAAAACCAGAATAATAATGTGGGTTTTCTGAAAGCAGCAATGTGTGTGTGAGTCAGGGCAGAATAGTGGGTGCTTTCATGCAGCTGCGAGTCCCGGGCAGGCAGGTGCCGGCGGTCCGTGGGGTTTCCTGTGTGGCTGAGGATTCCCGCACCGAGGGTTCCGGCTTCAGATGTAGGAACGCATTTGTTCGTGTCCCAAAATGCTCACCTCGCAGTCCGTAGTAGCTGGGGTGCCTTAGGGGTGGTGGAAGATTCAAAAGCTTGATCCGGCAGTGTTGGGTAGCAGGAGGTTGCGAGTGGGTGTCTGACGCTGCGGACAAACGTGATCCTGGTTGGGTGCTGTACACTGGTTCTTTCAGGCATATCACGAGGTCCTTTTCTCCAAACAGTTCCACTATAATTAGTTCCTAAGAAACGAAGATGCTATTCATTAGACGTAAAGATAATTGCCAGGGATGCCAGGTTCCTACCACTCACCCATTTTCTGCTTGTTTTTACATCTGCGCTAACGCTTTACTAAGCTGTATTTCTGGTGAATCAGGATCGCTCCTATTTACATGCAAATTTAAAAATTTGGAGGGTGTGACTGAATCTAGGATAACACAGCGTTTATGACTCTGAGAGCCGGGGGGGAGTTTTCTGGCCTCACAGAGGTTTTATTTTTTAACACCAGTGCAGTGCCATCTATTCCGGTAGACTGGGTTTTGATTTATATGTGTGCAAATGAGACTAGCATCAGGCCAATCTCCTCTGTGAGCCCTTTGGAATTAAGAATTAAGTTATGCGTAGGCTATAGGAGGATAAAAAGGAGACAGAATATTATTAGCCTGAGTTATCTCCTCGCGTGGTGAAGCAATACGATGAAGGAAATGTTCTCTGTCAGCTATAGTGAATCTTCCAGCTGAACACATCAATCTGTTTTGGAGCCAAGATAAGCAGTCTTCTGTGCTTGCTGCAGAGGGGGAAACCCGAGATGCCTCGGAGGCCTGTATTTTTAAAGACGTCTACTTTTTATTTGTCCTCTGTTTAAAAACCTGATCAAATATTTCCCTGTTCTGGGGGACATCCAGGGCTCATAACAGCAGCAAAATGTTTCCAAGGGACAGCCCTGCGTGTTTGAAGAGCTCCTCAGAGCTGCCCGCGTTAGATGAAAGGTGCTAGGATCAGTAAAACTTAAGTGCCTCTAATAATTAATTCAGTGATCGGGGCTTTACAAAATTAGAAGAGTAGTACAGGGATGGCAAAATGTAGCAATACTCACCCACTCTTGGATTTATTTTAAGCTCTTCTCTGACCTGTGGTACTGCGTATATGAGCTCTTCTGGCCAGGAGTAGTGTGAAACTTATATTGTTGATTGATAGGAATAAAACCCTAGAGCTCCATTTTTTTATTACATGATCCTAGCACAAAAGAAGCTTTTGAGGATTTTTTTTTTCCCTGGAGGCTATTGTACATCTACAAAAATAACCATGTATTTTAAAAATAACACCAGAGACTTCATACTAATTTTAGCAATTAAATATCTGGTGCTGTCTACAAGATAATTATTCCACCATACGCTTGTGTCAAAATGCCACGGTAAAAAATGAAGTGAAGCTAATGAGGCTAATGGAGGTTTTGTATTTTCTTCAGATATGATTTGATTTTTTTGTTTGTTTTTTAGTGTTTAAGTGTATTTTGGAGGAAGAAGCTTATTAGGAGCATATAGGTGACATGAATGCTAGTCAATGTAAGAGCCTTTTGCCACGCAACAGCCTCCATGAAGCGTGGTATTGGTATGTAATGTTCTCACCATCATCTCTTAGGGATCGGGATCTGTTAGGCTTACGTGGAAATAGTTGGTAGTCTCACCTTGTGCTGTTAAAAGGCTTCTGACCACTCTGCTCTGCTTCCTGTGTCCCTTTACTGTCCACCTTGGGATCATGTTCACCTCTTGTTGGAGTTCAGCTCTTCA